ATTCAATTCCTCGGGGAAAACATCAACGAGATACCAACACAACGCCCTAGAAATGAGGCTGTAAAAAGAGCATTCAGTGCTGCTGCAGAATTACGCTGTGTCTTCAAAACCACTCCTCTTTTGCGCTCGTCCGGGAGTAAAAGACAAACTGCCTAATTTCCCCTCTTTCGTGTTTATCTACAAATTCAACTGCTCCTGTGGAGGGAGCCAGTTACTTGCGTAGGCCGTACACAATTAGAGACGTGTTTCTCGTCGACTTTCCGAACATCACCCTACACATTGGTTGGTTTCTTTAAGTAAAGGATAAACTAAATTTATTCTCAGCGCTATTCTATCTCACTCATCTTGTCAATACAGAACAGAAGACTGATTGATGTTAACAAGGCGGCTTTCAGGGTCATTTACCACAAACCAACCAAAAAAATCTCAATTTCGCCTCAAGAGTTTGACTTACTACTAAATATTGCTGGGGCTGGCCGACCGTTGGGATCCAGATTAAGTGTAATTTGTGCGGCCAAAAAGTTGGTTGGTTCAGACATTATCCTTGCCCGCTTGGCCATCCATCCAGGTTTGAATAATCGTGAATTTTTGAGGAATTTTCCTAATTTTAGCTGACATTCTATTCTCTACTATCTCTTTATTATTATTATTATTATTATTATTATTATTATTATTATAATTTAAGCATCTTTAATGAATTGTGGTAATTCCATTGTGATCATACTTTACAAATCAGTATTATTTAAAAAACACTAATATTGTTATCGACTACTACTCTAGAATATGCTATATATATACGTATATATAATTGTAGAGTGAGAAGAGGAGGAATTTATCGTAGAGGATATTCTTTACTCAATTATTTTGTGTTTTATAGATGTTTGAATGAACGTTTTCGCTATATTCCAGGTTAGACGTCATTAACAATATTAGTGTGCTTTTTAAATTATATCGATTTGTTAAGCAAGATCACAATGGAATGTCGGTTTACTAAAGAAGCATAAATTATAATATAATAAGCATAAAAATGTAATAGTGAATAGATTATTAAATGAAATCAAGGGAATTTATACAAGAACAAATTAAGGATCATTAAAGCCTTGATTGACTGCCAAGGTAAGGAGAGTGTTTGAACCAATTGCTTTTGGATACATAAGTTAAGTTTCTTGATGTGGATCCTAACAGTCTCAGGAATATGTAGTAGACGAACTCTTAGGGTGAAGTTAAGATTAGTTGGTATGTGGTGGATGATGTCGAATGCTTCGTGAACATCAATCTTGTGTTTTGTATTCACAAGTCATCTTGTGACTTAGGATAGAGCTGTGAATGGATTTTGTTTGTCCTTTACTTAACCAACCACTATGAAGGATGATGTTTACATTTCCTGTTCTAACTGAGCAAAGAATACAAAACACAAGATTGATTTTATATCGACTAATTTCTAGTTGCAAACTGTAAACACTGGAGAACTCAAATTCGAGAGAGACCAACATTTCGACTTTTAAATTCAGTAAGTTTCCTCCATGAACATGTCACATTAGTCAGAGAAATGGAATGCCTAGTGAAGCTATAACCATTCATGGTACTCCTGTCAACTTTTGATTTTGGGTGGGGAAAGTATCCTTTTATTTTGATCATAGCTTGATTCCCCACCGTATTTTTGGTACACGTATGGAATTTTCATCATGTGATATTGGTAGCCCAAATTTTGCAGGCCAACCATAGAAATCAGATGTGAGTCGGTGGGGGATCGAACCCCGGACCAAAAGCATAGTTAGCGAGAGTCCCAACCGCTGTGCCACCGACCACACACACCCCTACCATGCCGCCCAGTGAAGAAGAAGGAGACGATGAATGTCTCCGTGTGAGTTATATTAAATAATCGAATTAACACGGAATTCTACTACGCCATTCTTTCCACATATTGCTATAAAATGATGTCAAACAAACAAAAGTTAAATATCTTGTCTCCACACCTTGAATTCACGCTAATCACCATCATTTGATTTAGTGGTCTCGATGAATCAAAAAATTTTAACCACTTTAAAAAAGAGAAATCAAAATTTGATTTTCAAGTGTTGGTTAGAAAACCATTGCAAAAGCATCACTGGAGTACTGGACAGCTGTTTTGTCCTAGTTTGCGACTCTTCATCAGTACGCCCTCACCGGGGTTTGAATTCAGGACCTTCTGGTTACAAGACGAGCTCGTGCACAATTAAGCCACTGGGACTACATCCGATGGCCCATGAATTCTAACTTTTGCCAATTCACGATATGGCGCAAGCGCTAGTCAATGTCTTCGGCGAGTATTTGTCCTCATACCCGACCAATTGATACCTACCAGCTACAACTTCCCACTAGAACCCCAAGTAACAACCTTTCCAGTACTCCCTGAAGGTTTTCCAATAGTTCTTTAACCAATGTCAGCTCATGATGAAATCCTGTAACCAATCAAATCTCTACAAGCCGACACTTGAATATCATTGAGGTGCTCACTGGCGACTGGCCCTATTCAGGTAGGTAGTTACCTGGGGTTCTAGTGGGAAGCCGTGACCAGTAGGGTGTAGCAGACTGAAGGTGAGGCAGTTGATCACCGAAGAAGACATTGCAGAGTCGTTGCATTATGTCACGAATTGGCAGAAGTTAAAATTCACGGGCCATTGGATCGGATCTCAGTGGCTTAATGGTCTACGTGCTAGCTCACCTTCTAACCAGAAGGTCCTGGATTCGAACCTCGGTGAGTGCATACTGATGAAGAGTCCCAGACTAGGAAGAAACAGATGTCCAGTACTTCCTGCAGGTTTTTCAATGGTTCTCTAACTGATGTCATCTCATGATGAAATCCTCCATGCAATTGTTTATTTATCTGTTGCGAAAGCAATTATGCCTATTGAAAAACATGAACACTGATCGACGGGTTAGTCTTTCAAGCTTTACCGACGTGTTATCCGTTTCTCTTTAAACTGTTGATAACATTGAACAAAAGTGATTTTTGAGTTTAGTACTTCATTAATACTAGCATGATCACTCCATAGTCTCAGAAAAGATCTTCATAAAATGCCTGGATCAGTCAAAACTTCAAAAACCCTCAAATTAGATGCATACACTTACACACTCACATACACACACACATCTGCACGGGATGCTCTTAATACAATCACCTAATCCTACTCAAAAAATATGGTGGAGATATGTGGATGACAAACACTTTCACACACAGTGTTAAAAACAGAACACATCTCTCTCCAGCTTCTTGACATACATCCATAAACTCACGAGTAGTGATAATAAAATTCACATTTGAATCGGAAAATGAACAAGGAGAATTGTCTGTGATGTTAGATTGTAAAATAAAACGAATAGAAGAAGGCAAACTACACACTAGCGTTTATAAAAAACCAACGCATTCTGCTAATAGATATTTAGACTTTAATTCATCACCTCATCCGTTAACTGTCTAACAAATCGAGCCATAGCACTAAGTAGCACAAAAACAGACCTAAATGATGAAATAAAACAGAGAGAAGAAGCGTTGGTGTCAAATAACTACCCTATAAAATTCATTAGAAAGATCAGTAAAGGCCAAAAACAAAATAAAAATAATCGTGAAACTAGTAATAATAACATAAATAAGAGAGAATATAAGTCATCCACTGTTATACCATATAACGAGGGGACATCTGAGACACTCCTTACGTACGATTCTCAATAAAGCATTAATTAGGCTGGTGGTGGCATGTAAACCTACAAACTGACTTGTAACAACAGAAGACAAGGGCTGGCAACAGATCGTTTTATTATGAAAATCAACACGTATTTATATATATTTCACATACATTATTACAGCTTATGCAAGTAGACAAACGCAGTCATCTGATTGGTTGTTTATCAGAAGTTAGGCAGACAAACGCAGGCTTCCGATTGGTTGTTTAGGGATTCCTCGACAAATAGAGTTCTCTATCTGCGAATCATATTTTGCCACGTTAACTTTGCTGTGATTGGTTGTTAAATCAGCCTTGTACATATTTTCTCACGGCCTGCTCTCACCACAGACTCACTCAGGTAGGACAAGCTCTGTAGGGTAAAAGACCCGGTGAACCCAATTAAACAAAATAATGTATTTTACAAAATACTCTGCAATGACTGTGAGGTCAACTGTTTAGGTCATACTAGTAGACCGGGGGTAGTCAGATTGTCGGAACATAAGAATCCAGCTAAGGTAAGAATGGTTCACCCCACCGGAGAAGATAAGTCATTTAGAAAAGTGCTCAGCAATTGCACTTCTTGCATTGACAAACAACCACACAATAGCATGGTGGGAGACGGTTAAGATTCTAAGAAGTAATCTATGAATGTGGAGATAGAAAGAGGTTGATTACTGAATCCTGCCTGGTTCATCGAGTTTGCACCCAACACAACACATGCAACAGAAGTGACTCAATGCAAAACCAGAAATATGCATGGAAGATATTATTATCGCCAGTCATTCAGTCAGTGAAATCAGAGGAGGATAATTAATAATCTTAAATTGTATTCTGTTTCAATTCAATTCACGTACATCATCACAACATTCTAACAAGTTACTTACTTATTTTGACTATAAAAGAAACACTCGTCTTATTTCCCATCTGATTATTGTAATTGATCACTCATAACACTCATATTATTATTATTTCTGAATGTACATTATCCTATATTACTGATTTGTATTCAAATATCTAATCATCAATTCCACTCATGTATATAAATGAAGGAAACAAGGAAGTTGTGTGAGTGAGTGATTGAGTGACTTGATATGATTATGAGCGGCAATAATAATAAATTGTGCTCGAAATGGCGTGTGGTCGCATCAGTTAGTATTACTGTATAACAAACACCACACTGTGTGACAGACAGTTTATCAAAATAAAATCTTAGCCATAATGGAGGATGACCAGTGTTCACCATCACGTTGAAATTTGTTTTTCTTTTATTCTTTTGTTTATTTTTTACTTTTGTAGAAAATGGTCTAGATACCGGCAGTCAAAAAATTAACTTGACATTCATTATTCTTGGAACAATTTGTCTAATTATAGCAGCAATTCTTGTAATCATCACATTCGTTAGAATTGATTCATTACTCTACTTCATTGTCATCATTGTACTACTGGGGTTGGCGAGTAAGTTTCGATTTCAGAGAATTTATAGATTTAATATAAACTTGGACACTATGGTGGTGGTGGTGGTGGTAATAAGTAATTCCATATTAGTTTGTTTATTAGATGGATATATCACACAGTCAGTGAGTGAAACAGTATTAGTATTTACTCAATGACAAAGTTTCGAACACAATCCATTATGGCTGTTCATAATCATACACATCACCAATTATAATCACACGACTTTGAAACTTGAGTTTTATAGTTTTCTTTGTCCTCTCCTATTTGTCATCGTCATTGGGGTAGTAGAATTTTCCAGATATCATTCCTATTACAAGTGTTTCAAGTTAACTCCATAAACAAAGCTTCCTGTTACATTAGATGATGACGACACTAACAATAAGATATCTAAATCATCAGTAGTGATTCCATACAAAGAACGAACCTCGAAAACCACCTTACACAGAATTCTTAACAAGGCGGGCAGGAATAAAACTGACTGGAATTCAAACCAACCACAAACTCAATTAGAAACAAACTTTGTCAGCTAAAAGAAAGGGTCAATCCTGTGGAGCCTTTTAAACAGAACAATTTAGTTTACCTTATCCCCCGCCTGTGATGATTGTCAGTTCAAATACATAGGTGAAAGTAGTAGAACAGGGTCAGTCAGTGAGTCAGTCAGACTAGCCAAACATAAAAACGTAGCAGCGAAATCTAGATTGGATGACCGGAATAAGATAAGAAATCTGGAGAATAGTTGAACAGCTATTGCAAACACTAGATGCGGTTGCACACAACCTACCATACAATAGGCTGGATGGGATAAGATGGCAGTTTTAAAATCTAACACAACTAACAGGATGGCGAGTGGGGAAGATTGATAACAGAAGCTTTGTTTATCGAATCAACTGAAGCGAATACGTGTAACAGGAATAACTCAACACCTGTCCAGCTGGACATCTGGAAAATTCTACTACCACAACGACGACAAATATGAGAAAACAAAGAAGACTATAAAACTCCAGTTTCGAAGTCGTGTGATTATAACTGGTGATGTGTATGATTATGAACAGCAATAATGAATTGTGTGTGTGTGTGTTCGAAACTTTTTCATCCAGTAAATACTAATACTGTTTCACTGACTGGCTGTGTGTGATCCATCCAATAAACAAACTAATATGGAATTACTCAAAGATTTACTTCAGTTTCATAATAAATGGATGCCTAATAACAACTTGGGTGTGACATCGGTGGCTAAATAGTAGTAGCATGATCACCAAACATGAATGAGTTCAACACTTTATTCTCAGTTTAATTTAACTGCTCATATTGAATCCAGAAAAAAGAGAAGGCTGAGTGTAAATCCAGCAACGCCATCCATCTTGAAGAAAGAACACCATCGCCAGTGAGACTTCAAAGTTTGAATTACTATGTTATATTCGGAACACAATGAATGATAACTTGAAGAAGGAAAACAGGTGACCAAAATATTTTTCTGCATGTTTAGTAAATCAAAAATGACAGTTAAGAAGCATCCAGTGAAATTGTTTTAACTGATTAAAAATGCCCATTAAAATTGTTTTCAAAAAGAATGGATATATACTGAACAATGAATAAATACTCTTTTCGATAACCCCTTCATCATCATCAACAGGCTCTACAGTTATAAATCCATCCGTATCAGTGAATGAATGAATGAATTAATGTTATGAACAACAACAACATATAATATTGCTGTTTAAATAACATCGAATCAATTAGTATAATAATACCAATGGTGGATTACAGTTCAATAGCATCAACATAACAATACACACTGAATGTCAGACAGAGAAATTATGAAAGATAATATTACAGATTCATGAATTTATATTTTTTATTGAAGACCGGTCAGGGCAGTAGTAGTAGTAGGGGCTAGCTGGCTGGACTTGCTTCTTTTAAACACACAGAGCACTGGTTGTTTGAGGCGAATTGTGATAGCCTCTGCTGTTTGGAACATGCGGTGATTCGATGTTTTTGGGAATTTATTAGGCACCCGATAGATAATAGAGAAGGATTCTTCCATGCTGGCTGGATTTATATCCTGCCGGTTCGCACCAGTTTGTCGAATATCGAACTGTTGATGATGGTTTTCGCTACACCTTTACTTAGCCATAGTGGGAGATGTTCTCGAGCGACCACGAAAAATCAAGTTCCTAGAGCAACGGCCAATATAACTCTCTCCATCACCAGCACAGTTGAATTGGCAGATACGATTTTATTTTCAATTTTTTTATTTTTGATTACAGCTAGGTTCCACACCGTATGTTTTGGTACACGTATGGAATTTTCGTCATGTGATATCGGTAGCCCGAATTTTGCAGGCCGACCATAGATATTAAGTGTGCGTCAGCAGGCGATCGAACTCCTGACTATGTGCATGGCTGACGAGAGTCCTTACCACAGTGCCACCGACGAACCTGGTCTAGGTAGTTCATCTTTCAGTCTAGGTAGCACCATCGGCCTTCCTGGATGCCCTAATTACAAGAAAACCAGATGGTAGCATAAAGGGAAATTTGCATAGAAAAAGTACTTGGACAGGGCAATATACACATTTTCACAGCTTCGTTCCTATCAAGTACAAAAGAAATTTAGTGAAGACACTCAGCCACAGAGTTAGTTAGAGCTATATGCTCAGAAGAAGTAATTGAAGGTAAATTAAGCATTGTATATGATACTTTGGTCGAAAATAGCGATCCCGACAAATTTATCAAGAAACACATGAGAAAGAAAGCGTCGGAAAAAGAATTACTCACTTTCCATCCATAAACAAGAAAACTCTTTATATACGACTGCAATTCAAGGGCGATCGATGTACCAAGTGAGATAATAACGAAGAAATTAAGGAAATCAGTTCAAATAACTTTTCATGCTGGCGGCTAACTACATGTCTTATTCTCTACACGACTGATGGTGCTACCTTAACTGAAAGATGAAGTACCTAGATGGTCGTGGACTCGAACCGCGGTGAGTGCGTACCGATGAAGAGTCGCAAACTAGGATGGAGGAAACAGCTGTTTAGTACTCTCAAGTTTTCCTTTCACTTTCTTAATGCGGACAGATGATCAGAGTACAGAGTAATATAAGTAGGGTAAACAGAAAGATTCAGATATTAGTCTAAAAGGTAGACAGTGAAGCGTTTAGAAAATATCGCTCGGAATTATTCAAATTTATTACGAATAATTTTAGAAATATCATGTTTATGCAGAGGGAGGGATTATATAGAAAATGCAACAAATTCGGGATCTATCATCGTTATTTATGATGGGGACGATAGAAAACCACATCTGTACTGAATTGGGGGACTTTCAGTATGATTCGCCAGAGAAATATGTCTTTAATCACTCTTTGTCTGTTATCCAAATGCAGATCATCTCTCTTTGTCTTGAGTTATGTAATATAATATCTTCTGGAGTTGATTTACTAAATATTGATATGCAATTTGATGACACCATTACTGAAGAAGGTGTGGAAAGAGGTCAAGCTACCCGAAGATTGGAAGAAAGGGCATTTATTCAAACTGCCAAAGAAAGGAAACTTAAGTCAATGCAAAAACTGGCACGGAATCATGCTCCTGTCCATCTCAAGCAAAATACTAGGCCGCATCATCCTGGAGAGAATCAAACACGCCGACCTGGATGAAAAACTTCGACCGGAAGAAGCTGGATTCAGGAGGAACAAGTTATCTGTCTATCAAATCACTACACTACGGATCATCATTGAACAAAGCATGGAATGGAAGTCACGTCTCCACCGCACTTAACTTCATCAACTTTGAAAAGGCCTTCGACAGCGTCGATCGAGAGGTGATTTGGAAACTAATTCGCTACTACGGAGTGCCATCGACAATTATACATCTCATCCAACAGTTAGTTGCACGATAATGCTGCAGGAAACTTACGGAATCCTTCGAAGAAGTGAAGACGGGAGTAAGACAAGCTGGCTGGCTGCCTACTATCGCCAATGATTTTCCTGATTGCAGTGGAATGAATAATGTGACAGACAACGGGCTACGAGGAGCGAGGCATAAGATGGACCCACACAAAAAACTTGGAGGATCCGGACTTCACCGATGATGTATGCCTGAATTCACACAAACTGGAAGATATGCAGGTGAAAAGCAACAAGTTGGCAGAAGAATCATCAAAGATAGGACTTTAGGTTAACATAGGTAAAACATAGGTGGTGACGATTCCTGGCCAACACCAACAGCAACAACAGACAACAATCAACATAAATGGGAGGAACCTGAAAGAAATAACCTCACTTATCTACCTAGGGAGCATCGTTTCAACTACAAGCGGACGGAACTGACGAGGATATCAAAGCAGCGAGAATCAGGAAAGCAAGACAAACTTTCATTACTCTCAATTATGTGGGGAGATCAACAGCACTCGGCATGGAAAATAACATGCAGATTTTCAACTCCAATTTGAAGTCAGTCAGTGCTAATATGCGGATCAAAGACTTGGCCAGTGAGTCATAAAGAGCTCCTCAAACAAACTACAGACCTTCATCAACAGCTCCCTGCTCTCAAAACTGCTCAAGATCAGATCAGCAACAGGGATCTCTGGCGATGAGTGAACCAACACAGCAGGAACCGACTGTGCAACAAATAAGCAGGAAGAAATGGAGGTGGATCCTCTGAGAAAACAAACCATCGAGTGACATCACTAGACAAGCCATTGCCCAAGTGGAACCCAAAAGGGAAGCGGCGAGTTGGTCGTTAGTGTGACGGTGACATGGGGGAGGAGGTGATGTGAAGAGGAGATGAAAGTATGTGGGCAGACTTGGAGCCAAATGAAAACTCTAGCAGAGAACCGACGCAACGTGCGTCGGTGGCACAGTGGTTAGGACTCTCGCCGACCATGCACATGGTCCGGGGTTCGAGCCCGCACCGACGCACACCTGATATCTATGTTCGGCCTGCAAAATTTGGGCTACCGATATCCATGCTGAAAATTCCATACTTGTGCCGAAAATACAGTGTAGTATCAAGCTGTAAATCAAAAAAAAAATGAAGACGCGTGGCTGATGCCCTGTGTTGCTCTAGGAATTAAGGAAATAATAATAATTCGAAAGTTTTGTCAACCAGACACAGTACTTACTTTCAACATCGGCTGAAGATCGAGTCGTCTAAGAAATTGCATTGTCATTATCAATCAATACATGAAAGCCCAAGGTAGACAAAGTTCTCCAATTTCAAATTCATCGGTAGATTTTAAGTCTTCGAAAAAAAGGGGTCATGACAAGAAGCTTTCCAGAATCTCCAATTTTTCATGACGCCCTACCTGCTGTACCTTACTGGTCTTCGCCTAGCTGAATGTGGCCAGTCACTAGAGGTCGTTCAGATTGTTAGTCGGAGAGTGAGAGTATTCAAGTCAAGAAAAGCTTGATTTGTAGTTACTTGGGCAAAGGGGTTACCTTCTCAATAAAGATACGCCGAAAACAATCAATACGTCATTCAGACATAACGCGACTATCAGACTATCACAATGGTGTTTGTATTACAGAAAACACACCATAGTTTGCTTCTGGTTATGCACACAGACTAAGAGTTTTACACCAAACGCGGTGTTATCCTACGAGCGTCTCACTATTCTGATGGAAATAATAATGATAATAATAACACCTGTCGCACACTACTCCTCGAATAAAGAGCATAGAGTCATAAAGACACACTCTATAGGGAATAGCACTAGCGAATAATAACTACCCATACTGTGGTAGATAAAAAAGGGTGAAACGTGCCTGGCGTAATGGAAAGACGCCAAACATTTAAGCCACACTACGCTGTAGTCTAAATTTGCATACATAGTTACTCTTATCACAACTACTTTACAGAGAGTAAGTAGTGTATTCGAAAGAAAGCTCGACATCATATTCACCACAGGAAGTAAACAAAGAAGTTTAACTCAGCATTCATCGGAAGACGCAAATTTACAGCACCAACAAAAAGACGAGTAGTAGTAATTCAAGAGACATTGGCTAGCGATTGCGCTATATCATGAATCGGCAGAAGTTAGAATTCATGGGCCATTGGATGTAGTCCCAGTGGCATTAGTGTCTACGAGCTCGCTAGCCCTGTAACCAGAAGGCCCTGGGTTCAAGCCCCAGTGGGGTGGGCGGGTACTGATGAAGACTCGCAAACTAGGACGTAGCAGCTGTCCAGTACTCCCTGCAGGTTTCCAATGGTTCTGTAAATGATGTCAGCTAATGACGAAATCCTCCAACCGATCAAATGAAATCCCCACGAACCAACACTTGATTAAGGGGTAAATGTTTTGAGCTTCTGTTATCGAGTCTGATATAATCTTTATGAAGAAATTTTAGGAAGCTTTTTGACTCTTACATAACCTTGTTTAATAATAAAGAGACTTATGTTTCACAAAACACCCCTATCGTTACAACTGAATACTCGATTGGGAATAATAATTAGATAAAGGCCAATAAGGCAATACCTCTCCCCCCAAGAGAAAAAATACAGTTATCCTTTACAATATTCAGTAGACTAACTTAAAACTTTTCAACGTCACAGAGAGAAAACGGAGATTGTGTGGGTGAATCATCGTTGTCAAAAACAATGTGAATAGTTTATTTCCAAGTATTGGTTTTGTAGGGATTTTGTTTGATTGCATGGTGGATTTCATCATGAGCTGACACATCAGTTAGAGAACCACTGGAAAACCTGAGAGTACCGCACAACTGTTTCGTCCTAGTTTGGGACTCTTTATCAGTACACTATCACTGGCGTTCGAGTCTAGGACTTCTGATTACAAGGCGAGCTAGCTCGTAGACCACTGAGTCACTATTGTTCTAGTGGGAAGCCTTGACCAGTGGGGTACAGCACGTCATAGAAGAAGACATGGCGTAATGGTCGCGCTATATCGTGAATTGGCAGAAGTTAGGATTCAAGGATCATTGGATCGGGTCCCAGTGGCCTAATGGTCTACGAGCTCGTCTTGTAACCAGAAGGTCCTGGGTTCGAACCCTCTGTGGTGGGTGCGTACTTCTGAAGATTCGCAAACTAGGACGAAGGAAACATCTGTATGTCAGTACTCCTTAGTTGGTTTTCCAAAGGTGCTCTAACTAATGTCAGCTCATGATGAAATCCTGTAACCAATCAACCAAATCCCTACAAACCAATGCTTGGATATATATATATATATATATATATATATATATATATATATAAGAATTACTCAAGTTAAATAATTTTTTCTTTTTTATTCTTCACTCTAGTCCTGTGCTTCATCATCGCACTGGTTGTTATAAACACAAGTCCGGGATATCTGGGATGGTTATTAGCTGCACTTTGGGTCACATTCTTATGCTTATTGATTACCATTATAATATGGGTTACCAATACCGATTAAACAATGATGAATGCATGGTACATGTATATTAAACGATAAATGATCACTCTTTCAGATATCTGTGTACTTCTGCATGTATGTGTGTCTGAACAACGAACTTTCCAAGGCTTTTTCTCTATCTAAAGTGTATTCACTTTTTTTATTCTCTTATCCAAAGATTTGATAAATATGTAAGCAATATTTATTTTGTGTTTTTCAAAATTTTTCAAAACAATGGATAGATACTGAACAAAGAATAAATACTCTTTTCGATAACCCCTCCATCATTAGGCTCTACAGTTATGTATCCACCCATTATACTGAATAAATGAATGAATTAAAAATTTAATAATAATTTTTCCTTCATGTTCCCCAGTGGAACATAGGGCACCTTCAAGTTAGTGGCTTGAAGTTTCTGTAGCAGTGTTTATTTTTACAGGATGGGGTCGCTGGCCTCATGCCCAACCCTTCCTCTTTACCAGCGTTATTTCTGGCTTCGCGAGGTAAAGGAGTGCGTCGGCCGGGATCGAACCTCGGACAATGTGCATGGTCGGCGATTGTCCTAACCGCTATACCACCGACACATTATTTAATGAAACATTAATGTTGTTGTTTAAATAACATCGAATCAATAATGATAATATTAATACCAATGGATTACATTTCAACAACATCAACATAACTGAATGTCAGACAGAGAAATTAGGAAAGATAATATTACAAATTCATGGATTTATAGTCTTCACCCACTGAAGGTCGGCCAGAGCTGTAGTAGGGCTGGCTAGCTGGATGGATATGCTTCTCGCGAACACAGAACACTTTTTGTTTGAGGCGAACTGCAATGGCCTCTAGTGTTTGGAGCATCCGGTGCTTTGATGATTTTGGCAATTTATGTTGCACCCGGTAGATGATGACAGAGAAGGATTCTTTCACGCTGGCTGGCTGGCTTTGTGGTCTGTTTTTCAAGATTATTCTGATTGTTTCTTTTTCAAGTTTTCTGTGTTTCTCAATGACTCACTAGCTTTCATAGATTTACTAACTATAATTTAGGCAACTGCATCTGCAATTCAGGATTAATTACTGCAGTGGTTTTTGTTTTCAGAAACGCATTTCGAAAAATGAAACAAAGTGAAGAGATATAATATCCCTAACACTATGAATATATACATATATAACCAGTCGAGAAAATTTAAACATCTCAATATATTAATTAATAGTGTTCCCTCAAGAGCTGTTCGGTTTAGTTGCGGAGCTTCCGTTGTCCCACTCCCCTGCTGGACAACATCCCTCTTCAGCGCAATTTTTATCATAAACTGAACTGATTTGAATTTTTTCCGTGGGTGACAGATAGAATTGCTTCTCCCGGTAACCATCTTTACATATGTATTGATCATTTTTATTATTGACTTGGATATGAAATTTTCTGGTCATGCGATTTACTTTTTATTAGTTGGTATTATAATTATTGTATCCTTTAGTTTCTAGAGGAACATAGGGCTTCAGCTGCGCGCCTCCATTGCCTTCGTTTTTCTGACAACTTTTTCACCCCGCTGCAGGTCTGTCCACATGCTTTCATCTCCTCCTCGCATGACCTCCTCCGTCACCCTTGGACTACCAACTCGCCACCTCCCGTTCGGGTTCCGCTCGAGGGCTTGTCTAGTGATGTCACTTGATGGTTTCCTCAGCGTATGGCCAATCCATCTCCATTTCTTCCTGTCTATTTGTTTCAGAATCGGTTTCTGCTCGGTGGTTGCTCACTACCAGAGATCCCTTTTGCTGATCTCCCTTGGCCATCTGATCTTGAGTTTTGGGCGAAGACAACTGTTAATGAAGGTCTGAAGTTTGTTTGAGATGCTCTTTATGACGCTGGCCAAGTCTCTGGTAAGTATAGTAGTGGCACTGACTGACTTCACATTGGAGTTGAAAATCCGGATCTTATTTTTGATGCTGAGTGCTGTTGACCTCCACACAGATTTGAGAGTAATGAAAGCTTGTCTTGCTTTTCCGATTCTGGCTTTGATGTCCTCGTCAGTTCCGCCTGTAGTTGAGACGATGCTTCCCAGGTAGGTGAAGGAGGTTGTTTCTTTCAGGTTCTTCCCATTTATGCTGATTGTTGTCTGTTGTTGTTGTTGCTGTTGGTGTTGGCCAGGAATCTTCATCACATCTCTGTTTTATCTATGTTCACGTGAAGTCCTATCTTTGATGCTTCTTCTGCCAACTTGTTACTTTTCACTTGCATATCTTCCAGTTTATGGGAAATCAGACATATATCATCGGCGAAATCCAGATCCTCCAAGTCTTTTGTGTCAGTCCATTTTATGCCTGTTCCCTCGTTGGTTGCCGTTGTCTGTCGCATTATCCAATCGATTGCAATCAGGAAGATCATTGGTGATAGTAGACAGCCTTGCCTTACTTCCGTCCTCACTTCGAAGGCTTCCGTAAGTTTCCCGTTGTGGATTACTTGGCATGCAGCATTGTCGTATAACTGTTGGATGAGATGTATAATTGTCGATGGGACCCCGTAGTAGCGAAGTAGTTTCCAAATGACCTCTCGATCGACGCTGTCGAAGGCCTTTTCAAAGTCGATGAAGTTGAGATAGAGAGGTGACTGCCATTCCAAGCTTTGTTCAATGATGATCCGTAGAGTGGCGATTTGATCAATACATGATTTGTTTCTCCTGAATCCAGCCTGTTCCGGACGAAGTTTTTCATCTAGGGCTTGTTTGATTCTCTCCAGGATGATGCGACTTAGTATCTTGCTTGGAATGGACAGAAGCATAATTCCACGCCAGTTTTTACATTGACTTAAGTCTCCTTTCTTTGGAAGTTTGAATAAGTATCCGTTCTTCCAATCCTCGGGTACTTTGCCCTCTTTCCACACCTTCTCCAGCAGTGGTGTCATCAAGTCCGCTGTTGTCTCTGGGTCTATTTTCAAAGCTTCTGCTGGGATTCCATCTGGTCCCGGTGTTTTCCCAGCTTTTAGCATCTTGATTGCATTCAGGACTTCTGATTTCGTCGGGGGGTCAGTGTTCACTGGTAGTTCTGCTTCCGTTGTTGGTATTGCTGGGCGCGTTGTAGGTGGCGGACGATTTAGAAGTCTTTTGAAGTGTTCAACCCAGTGCTTTCTCTGTTCCACCTCTTTGGTGATTGACTTTCCATTGTCGTCCTTTATTGGCTTAATCTGTGTCGAACGTTTGCCCGAAAGGTTCCTAGTTGTTTGGTAGAGTGTGGCGAGGTCTCCTTTGCCTGCAGCTTGTTCTGCTTCGTTTGCCATGGTTTCATAATATTTTCTTTTGTCTTCCCTGGCACTTTTCTTCACTCTTTTGTTCAGTGTATTGTAGCTTGCATTCAGCTCCTGTTTTTGTTGCTCGTCAGTGCACTGGATAATCTTTTGCTTCACTGTCCTTCTCTCTTCTATTAGTTTCCAAGTGTCCGTAGTGAGCCACTGTTTGTCCTGCCTCCTCTTTCTGCCTAGGACTTCCATGCAGGTTTGACTCCTGTTATGTACTCGTCGCTAAATTATTGTTATGGACTGGTCGAGAAACTAATAGTCCTGACGCAAGAAGGCGGAAATCAGAAGACCACTAGGTTTGCGATGATACTTCTATTGTCCAAACACAAGGAGACGAAAATAAATGGTCTCACACCAAAGTGATAAGTAAGTAAAGTAGTTGTAAAGTAAAGTAGTTCACACAAATTGTGAATGCGAATATATATAAATAATTCAGACAAGCGTGGGAAAAATCATTAGACAGTCTTAACATGAATGGCTAATTATAATGGAGTGTCGATCCAATTATACATAGCGAATATAGCAGACATGTCAACAACCCCACGTATAATATGGATATATGTCACCAAGCAACGGACTGTCAACAAACACTCATATTATATATAATATAATATAAGGAGAATATACATTATTAAAGGAAACAAGTTCACACAAGTGAAGTGGTCACAGACTAACCGAGCAAACAGAAAGAGAGACCAACATGCACACACACACACATAAATATATATATGTGGATACATATCAACTCCACACCGTTTTCAAGTTGTCCCAGTGCTTTTCGACGCTGACCTTTTCTCTGGTGTTGATTTGTATCTCAGCTTTGTCCTTTATGCTTGCAATGAAGATGTCCTCTGTAGCCTGGTCCTTCAGCTTTTGAGCGTTGAACTTGGCTTGTGGTCTGTCTGCACCTCCTGCTTCTCTGAAAGCTTTTAATTTGATTTGGATTGTCCCTTGTACGAGATAGTGGTCTGAGCCAACGTCTGCTCCTCTTCTTGCTTTTGTGTCCAGTAGGCTGCGCCTCCACCTTCTTGAGATTGAGATGAAGTCGATTTGGTTTTTGGATTGCCCGTCTGGTGACACCCATGTAGCCTTGTGGATATCTTTGTGCTTGTATACACTGCCACCAATCACTAGTTCGTTGGAGGCGCAGAAGTCGGCGAAGAGTTCTCCATTTTCATTCATTTCTCCGAGAGCTTCTCTACCCATGATGAGTTCCCTTCCTGTGTTGTCTGGTCCCAGTTTGGCGTTCATGTCTCCCATTAGTATTTTCATGTCGCCAGCTTGAGTATTGTCCATTGTTGCCTGTAGTTGCCTGTAGAATTCTTCTTTCTTTTCGAGGTCTGCGTCGTTTGTGGGTGCATAACATTGTATGATTAACACTTTCCTTCCTTTGGAGTTGAATCTGGCGGTCATTATCCTGGACGAAATCGCCTCCCATTGCATCAGGTTGGTATATTTCGTCTATATTAACATCGTTTGTTGATTACATTTTCGTTTGAGTACCACGCTCCTAGGAATTCCCTCAGTGCACTTTTGGTGGTGTTTCCTCTGTCTAAGGTTTCAATATTATCCCAGTTATCAAACTGATGTCCATAATTATCTATTTGCATTGATATGAAACAGGAATATATATCGTGTCTTTTCACAGCTGATTTATGTTCCTGGATTTTGGTTCGAAGGGGACGTCCACTTTGGCCGATATAATGTCTGTTACAGTTCACACATGCAATTTATTTTGTAAATGTTATCATAATTTTATCTCCTTTTTCTGTTGTATGTCTCTATCGGTTTGCACAATATCGATTTGACTGGCTTGCGTGCTAAATCATTTCACTTTATGCTAAATATTGCGTTGAAGGGGGATTTTGTCCAGTCGGAGGGAGGGAGACAACGAAAGCTGCGCAACTAAACCAACCAGCTCTTCAGAGAACACTATTAATTGCACCTACGTGAGCTACAAATCTCCTTTATTATCACAATATAGTTTCAAAGATTCACTGCTTTCCTTTATGATTTATGATTGATGTCACACAA